CGTAAAAATGAAACCAACTACAGACGTCAACATTTCGATTTGTAAACCGCTGTTTCAGTTGCAACCGCGATTAATTCATTAATCCACGAGCATGCCCCATCTCAGCAAATAATGAAAAATGAAAATTATTTTAAATTATTAAAAAAAAAGTTAATGATCTATAAAATAATGGGAAATAATAGAGCTTGAACCGACTGATCTGATGAGCAAAATTGGTAAAGTCCACCTCCATTTATGCAAATTTATTGTGTTTCAACGGTGTCTTCACTGTCATAGTAAGCTTGATGAGTTTCAGCGCTGGACCGTGTCCGTTGGAGATTAAGGATGGTAGCATGTTGAAAATAAACGCCCAACTTCCCGGGTTCGAATCCCGTTTGGGATGTGGCAAGATAAAAACCACAGTCCACCCTCGACGGCAATAACGTTCAAAGGGGGAGAAGGGTAAAGCGAACTCTCATAGTGTGGTAATGAAAAGTCAACTTTTGCAATCTAAGATGTATTTGGTATTTAGTTGAAGAATCAGAAATTCGAGTAATTTTGATAGAAAAACAAGTTTTTCGTTACTTCACTCATTTGGAAGCAGGTCAATAAAATTATGCGAATATTCATCGAATAGGCAAAAATAGGTCAACTCAATTCGCTTCCTACTTTAAGTGATCCGTTGACCTCACATTTTGGCGGTTCGACTCACCCTTCTGCCACCCAGATACATCAGTGCTCAGTTTTCGTTTGTCTGTCGCATGATATGTTGATGTCTGTATCAAAAGATGAATTGAGATTCAAGGGGTCCCTTGCGGATTCAGTGTGACAAAACTTTCGCTAAACATGTTTTACATTCATACTGTGTAGGTCTCATAGTTACGAGTAGCTCCTGATCAAATGCTGTATTCACATTGTGGGATGATGAAATCTGAGTGAGGAAGTATCCCAAAACGTATCCTCATTTAGTGCTCGATTCCCGTTGTGGCGGCTGTCGAGACCTTGGCGAGATAGGAACCGTAGTTCAATTGAGTCCGAAGGAGAAGGACTTTTGGGTAGCAAGGATAAGGGAAACGCAACGACAGCATGAGGCTCACTTTTATCATTTAATAATAAAATGTATTTTAGTATATTTATAGAAAAAGTGAGTTTCTACCAGACTCAACTCAGCATTAATAAGACTCAAGTTTTCATTTCATTCATGCAATTGGATAGAACGGATTTTCGATTCCGCCTCACACGAGCTTTTGTATTAAAAATAAACTAGTACCTTTTACGACCAGACGTGATTGCGGTTATTTTAATTTGAAAATGTCTCTCATGACTACCGAACAGTCGGAAACTAAGCACAATAGATTGTGTTGATGAGGGTGTACCGACAGTCTTATCCCATTTTTGAGCTGCTTCCAACCAGTTGTTCTCTCCAAATCCCATCATCAAGCAACTGCTCAGATTTGGACGCCGTCTCGTTTGCTAATCCCCTCGAGAAGTTGGAAAATCACAATTTAACCACAAAACACACAATGCCATTGTTTCATGTCGGCGGGTATGCTTTTTCTCAAATGACACACATTTATTAGCAAAACATCTCGATGTCTACAGTTGTTCACTGGAAATTGTTCGGAAACAGTTTTGCCAAAATATTTTCTACTCTGCACCAAATCTACTACTCAGCACTACTCATCACCACGTTTATGATCGGAACTTTTGCATCAATTCCCCCCTCCCCACCCCCACCCCCCCTCTTACTACCACTATCGCTACCATCACTTAAATGACAATGTGAAGATTCGTGAACTTTCGATGTAGTCGTTTGTGCTCTCCGACTATACCAAAGGCTACACCTGCTGTACATTTCGAAGAGGAGGGGAGTGGGGAGGGGCGTTTGAAGAAGTCAAAGAGTTCCTCTGTTAACCCTTGCATGTGGCTCCAAAGGTATCCATTCCAGGCAATCCAGTTCATGAGTGAATTAAACCTCTTGGCCCACATGCACATGTCCCGATCTCACATACACACACACACGTGTGCACACATAGACATAGACATAAATGCATACATCCTTCGGTCGTGTTCCGCAGGTCGAGTCTTGCAGCCTCGCGAGGTGAGACTCGGTAAGTCGAGGGAAGACGAGCAAAAAGTTGTATTTACAAAGAAAACATCCCTTCACCCGCGTTCGCGATCCATCCTCTGCCCCGGGTCCATTTCAGTTCGTGAATTGGGTTGTTTGGTTGAAAGAGGGGGCAACCACATCACTGGATAGGCCTGGGAACTGGGCAAAATGGGCATCCCGAGTGGAGGCATGTCGATGTTTTTTTGTGTTAAAAGACAAGAAAGGATCATGTGTGGAGCAGGCATTCGAATACAGGGGCCAATAAAATGTGTGTGTATGTGTGTGTGTGTGTGTGTGTACAATTGGGAAGACACCTGTGGAGACAAGGGGCACATAAAGGGCCGGGTTTGGGGTGGCCCGAGGGGAGGCCGTCGACTGGTCGTAAACACATTGTGGCCCCTCTCTCGGAGCGACCAGGTGGTGTCGAGCCGACTCTCGGGACGGGCTAGTAACTTGCTGCTGCCACAATAACAAAAACAAAAACAAAAACAAAAACAAAAACAAAAACAAAAACAAAAACAAAAACAAAAACAAAAACAAAAACAATAATAATCGTGCTCATCATCACAAGAGCTTCCGGGGGCTGGTACGGAAAGGGGGCAAGGAGAAACAGCGGAAAAGCCCTTTGGACACGAGGGCCCTTCGGACGAGGTTGACGATCCGAAACGGGGCTAATAAAACGAAAATGC